TAATTAAAATCAATTCAACATTGGTAACGATTAAAAATTTCTCCAGCATCTAAATCACCTAAAATAAGATCAACAGTAATCATCTAAATTAAGAAGCAATTTTATTTTTTGTTGAAGATAAATAAAACTTTCAATTAATTAAGGTTTTTAGTTGAGATAAAAAAGTCAGTGTCACGAGCGGGATTCGAACCCACGACCTTCGGTTAGATAAGCCGCTACTCTATAACTTGAGCCATGGTGCCTTCTATCCAGTCGGACACTAACTTCCCATCTCAACCCCACTTTTTGAATTTTCCCTCCTTTTTGCCATTACCATCCAAACATTAATTAATTGAAAGATATTAATTGGTCAAGCGGACCACGAAAACTAGTAAATTTAATAAATAAAACTTTTGAAATGTGAATGTAATACAATAGTTGAATTGAAATGATTTTACAGTGAAACCGATATCGGCAATTCTGGATGAGGTTCAAAAAGCAGCATCCCACCGTTCTTTGAGTAATAAGTACGAATGCTCAGTATGGACTATTAGTGACATTCAGAAAATGAATGCAGCCCGTGTGAGAGGAATTGAAAAGAATAAAGCAGGTCGTAAGCCAAAACTTTCAGATGCCTTCAAGGTCGGCATTATTCGTTCAAGCAAATTTGATAATGCCGTTCAAATACAACGGAAGTTTAAGCGGTTCGATAATCAGTGCTGAATGAGTTCGCCGTGTCTCGAAGAAAACTGGCTTGCGAGGAAGGGAAAATTTTAACAAACCAATGCTAACATAAAAATCTAAGATTAGCCATCGCCAAAAAAATATGCCCACTGCACAGAAAATGATTGGTCAAATGTATGATCTGACAAATTCAAAATTAATAGATTTGGGTCTGATGATAACGAGTAGGGTAAAACTAAGGGTAAGACAAACCAACAATTAAATTTGGTGGAAGTATAGGGGTATGGGGATGCTTAATGACAGAAGGGGTTAGTTTCATTCAAAAATAGAAGGAAGAATGTCTGCAGTCACTATGTTGAGTAATTAAAGCATACTTAGACAGGAAGGGTTAGAAAGCTCAATAAACGCAAAATTGACATTATTTTCCAGCAGGACAATGATCGTAATCATACCGCCCGTGTGACAAACCCATGGCTTGACGAAAATAGGTTGAATTCGTTAGAATGGCCACTACAATCCCCAGATTGAAACCCTACAGAGAATCTCTGGGCCCAGCGGAAGAGATCTGTCACTGATGTTAACGCTTTACCAGCAATTGTGGGAAAATGTTGTGACCAGTGGAATTAAATCACACCACAACAATGTGAAGAGTTGGTACAATGTAGCCAAGACGGATCTGCGCCGTAATCAACCCTACACCAAATATGAAACGTTAACAACTCGTAAACTTGTACAAAAAAGTAAATTTTTGTTCTTCTTTAAATAAAAAACATTGTTCTATACATTTTTTGTAGTTTTTGTAATTCTACTTGTAAGTAATACCTTAGCACCAACGGAGTTACAATTTAACTGATATAAAATTGTAAAAACATGAGATGTATCGTTAAGCATAGGCGATTTTTTCAATTCCGTCAGTCACATAAATACATTACACGTATTCGTCTAACTATTAACTGTAGTTGTTCCTCTTTTCTCAAAGCACTCTCTCACTCTCTCTCTCTCTCTCGTCTTTCGTTTCTCTCTCTCTCTCTCTCTCTCTCTCTCTCTCTCTCTCTCCCTCTCTCACCCTCTCCAAAATATGTTTATTGTGTGCGTTTATAAAAAAAATCGGATTTACACAGCCACTCTCTAAAACTTTATTTATTTTTTTACGAGGGTTCGCAACAGTCATATCAACCCTCAGGGTGCCGGTGTTTTTGAAAAAAACAAAAACATTTGTAAATATGTCTGGTTCGAATACAGGGCCGCTGGATTCGAACACTGGACCTTTACCTTACAGTGATGAGCGCCTTGTCAACGGCTAAACCGTTGCGACCACCGACGCCCCTTTGAAAGTGGCACTGCTGAACATTGATCTAAAACTTTATTTTTATTGGAGGCATGAAAGTAAATTGCATGGTTTGAATACATTCACAGCAGAAATATATCACGTATTTATCGCTTTCCAAGCCATAGAAACAAAAACCGATAGGGTAAACCAAATTAAAGGCAATTTATTAACCCATAAAATCAGAAGGGGAAAAGTCAAGACTCACTCTTGCAACACCAGCACTAACTAGACGGATATACGCCCTTCTTGCCAAAGTAGTAAATTATACCATTCAGTTCTGATAACGGCAATCATAAATTTAAATTTCACAATATTTGTGTAATGCATGGTAAAAGCACGGATCAAAAAATCAAACAATATATTATATTAATATAAGCGATTTGTATAAAGATGTTTTAATATTTCGTTTTATAGAATAAGATAAGTAATTATTATGCGTTAACATGTAACTGTCCGTTGGTTGTCGAGGGCAAGGGGAGTCAAACCACTTTACATTACTTTTTGCAAATTATTATAAACTCAAATTTCATGGGCTTTACATTCAAACCCAGAATTGCTAGCGTGGTAAATATGCAGATAAACGAAAGATGTAGCCGTTAATGAAGTGTCCTGATAAATATCTTCTTAAATTACTATTAATATAATTATCAGCTATGCACTAACAATGTTATACTGTTGTGTCTGTTCCCACCTACGGAAAATAACAATACAGCTGAGTTTTGTCAAAACATGTTTCCACCTTTAAATATAATATCTTAAAATTGACTGAAAATCTCAATTAGTAGTATGTGTTAATGTAATAATAATGTTAAGCGTTTTGTATAATTAGAATAAAAGCTGAACTTCTTACTGCCCTTAGCCCACCCTGAGGATGTCAATAAATTTGATGAAACTTCGGCATACGTAAAAATGTTGTTTTTCTTTTCTCTTCCACATCTACTTGACTGATCATCCTACCTTCAGAAAAAGAGTTTAAATTACAATGTCGTAATCAGTAGAAAATAATGTTTTCACACATAAAAACGCCCAATCTCACATTAAAGTGTGAACGATGATATCAATTTCTTCTGACTTATAATCCTTACAAATTTGAACGCAAACTATTGTTTTTCTCTACGTGTAGGAAAATTGGGTTGTTTCACAGTAGACGGTGCTTTTTGAGCCCGTACTATTCAGATGTGTAAATAATGGATGCATAGTAGAAATTAGAGACCTAGCCTGTTAAATAATTAACGTCGTTTACCTGTAAACGTTTGTTTACTTTCGAATCATGAAATTCATTTCAACTCCTAATAACGTATAGATCTTAATATGAAACCTGTTTCTGGGCAAAGTAGGGGAGATCCGGCCGAAGAACTGTTTCTTCTCCAATCTTCACAAATACCGTTAGGTAGAATTGTTGGAGGCCGGCTACCGGTAATTGTCCATAATTGTTCCGATTTCCTTTTCAACTTTTTGCCATCACTTTATGTATTTTTGTCAAGTGGTTTTACTAAATATATTTTAAAAAATTATCACCGATAAGTAATAAAATTAAAACCTAAGAAGATTTCTCAAATGGGGGGAAAACACGTAGGGTGCGGTAATCAGTCAGGTGTCTGGCAAACGGCCATGCGCCATTAACTTCACCCGACCCATCGTTAAAGTCTCCTTCCTATTTGGCAACAACCTTCCCAATGAAATTTCGCCAGAATGAAAAACAAAAATAACACGAAAACCCGTCTTATAAATAATTACTTTGACAAAAATACATTAAGAAACATGGACAAATATATTTATACCATAATGATATTGACTGTTCATACAAATATTCTTGAGAAGTTTTAAGACAACCAGCGAGGGTAGCGGACCTTCAGAGTTATTGTTTACATGCCGAGTTCATCAACTCGCAGGCTATCCAAGTTCGTAATAACTGTACAAGGATGAGAGACGTGGCTGGAAGAGAAATCACTTTTATTGTAGAATTGTTGTTTTGCAATTTTCTATTTTTGAAAAATGAGGAAATAATAATAATAATACATGATAATAAAATTGGATCACATTGAACAGATGAGATCAATGGAGATTAAAATGAATGTACTCTGAAACTGAACAACAGCGAGGTAGCAAGGTGAAGACAAAATATAATATTTTTAACTTTTCTCTTATTAGATATTGTATATGATTTTATCTCGTAGAATAGTAATTTTCAGTCATTTCATGGATTTCTCTATAAATATTTTAGCATCATAACATTATATCACTACTGAAATACCGCAAATAATTCATACGTAGAAATAATTGATGTGGAATGCAAGATTTTGTTCTACCATAGATTTAAATACTTCTTGAGATATTTCAGACTAAATTTAACTGTTGTTTTCTATGAGAAGTAAGTAGAACCAAAAATAAAAGTATAACACTATACATGCATAATCGATTTTCTGTCCGTAAGAACTTATATCAAAGAAATAAAAACATTTATGGAAGTCCCTTTCACACCTCTCGGATGACATTTAGAAAATAAGGTTTAAATGAACGATTGTATAATTATAGGAATTTCTTATATTATTCGTACTGAACCCATTCCCAAATAAGATCGTCGGTCGTATTATTTCGCCCAGACTCCTCCAAGCCATCCTGGTTTTGAACGTCACGACTCAGAGCTAAAAGTATCCCGTCCTGAAAAAGCACACTGGCCTATATTCTTTTGCCGGAGTGGTCGCAACCAGTTTTATGCTCGTTTATGCTATTTCCCCCGCCGTAATTACGAGATGCCGGATCGACTGACTCAATGGTCTAGGCACTTAGCCAGCCCACGCCCTTTGCTCGCACCTGCTTCCCCGAAAACCCCAGGTCACATTCCTTTTATTTGAGCAGACTGAACGTACTCATATCGATCCAGTGAAGACAGGTAGTTTTTTAATTTAAATTATCTCTTGAGCTGAATGTTACTGTTTAAATATAAAGTTTTATCAGGAAGAATACAATGGAAATATTTAAAAAAATTAACATAATTGATGTTTACCTTAATTTATAAGACAAATAATATGGCAAGATTCAAATATGGTGATTCATGTAGTTATCCTCTGAGAAATCCTAATCGGCGTAGGAAAAAATGCAAAGTCGGCACTGAACATGCGAAGGAACCACCTCCTTCTTGGCACTGTCTTTCGCGAACTGTCCCCACAAGGAGAAGAGGTGGGCCGGCCAGGATACGCGCCATCTGGCGTAAGGCTCAACAAATGATAAACCCGTTCTTTTCCCTTTCTTCTTGTTCTTCTTCCTCTCCCAATCGCACGGAGTCCAAACCCAAGCTGTTTTATCGTTCAAGACCACGGGAGGAAGAGTGGTCCTTCCGTAAACAGAATCAATCAATCATGGCAGAATTTTTGAAAACAAATCAAAAAGTCAAAATACAAATTGATACAACAAATCGTAGCGAACAAGCATCAATAAATTTTCTTAAGGCAATACTTCATGAATATTGTTTATTTATATTTTATGTTACACACGTCAAACTGATTAAAACCCTTTCAGCATGTGATCCAATTTTACGCGACATAATCTTTATATCCTTTTCGATTCTTACAGAATGTTTCAAAATTGAAAATAGAAAGCAAAAATCTCTACATACCTACATTAAAAACAATATTTTACTTCTTTTACTTGACTATAACGTTTCCTTATATAAATTTACCATTAGCATTTATTTACACTAAAAGCGAATAGGTTTTTTAACCATTACAAATATAATACACTATATTTGATTAACATCTGAGATGGCGGGGTTTTTTTTGGGAAATTGTGGGAATGGTTGAAATTCAAAACTTAATACCTGGAAAAAATTGTTTTTTAAAATTTATTTATTAAGAGTTGTTCAAATTCAATAATCGTAATAAAATTAAGAGAAAGAAGATGAAAACAGTTTTATTTAACCACGTAAAAGAAGATCTTATGAATCACTTTACCCCTTTATCTGAAGCCGTAGAGTGAAATAGTATGGCTGAGAAAAATAAAAGAGATTGATAGACACACTGAGAGAGAGAATGAATTGAATTCCTTATTTTATTTATAAGCTCACAAAGGTCCCATCCACCTTTCTTACATTTAACGAGCATTCGCACATACAAATAAAGTTTACATAATTTGAGTATAAAGAGAGAGAGAAAGAGGAGGACAGAGAGAGAGAGAGAGACAGAGAGAGAGAGAGAGAGAGAAAGAGAGAGAGAGAGAGAGTGAGAGGGAGAGAGAGAGAGTTATATGAAGCAGAATTAGAGAAAGAGATAGGAGATAAAAAGGAGAGAGATAGGGATAGATAGAGAAAGATAGAGAGATAGACAGAAAAAAGAGATGGAGATAGAGATTGATTGTGAGTGAGTGAGCGAGAGAGAGAGAGAGAGAGAGAGAGAGAGAGTGAGAGAGAGAGAGAGAGAGTGAGAGAGTGAAGGTTATTATTTATTTGAAAGGAAGGTTATTATTTAAACATTATTTCATAAAATATTGTTTGGAATTGAACTTTATGAACTATGATCAGATTTTTATGATTCAGACAAACCTATTGCCGTCCAAATATTGAGAGAAGCAGAGAAAACAATACACTATTTTTTATCACAGCGAGAGATAGAAAATTAGAGCGTGAGAGATTGTGTGAAAAGGACCAACTCTGTGTGTGTGTGTGTGTATNTATAAGGTTATCAAAAAAATTAACTAAACCATAGTCAATTATATAGAAATAAACATTCATTTTAAGTACGGTATTATTGCCCTACAAATTTGACATTATAAATTTTTTCATTTACTAAAATTTACTACCAACAACTGCGTTTGAGTAATACTTTTCCAAAATTGGTTCTTTAATTATTTGACCGATTGCAGAAAGGGAAAACAATCTGATTGAAATTCTTTCCGATTTCCTATTCAAATCGTGTAGTCATTTCCCCTGTCTACGCGGCCCTTACAGGAAAAAGTCCATTCATGAGAAACGCGTGAAACCTTTCCACGGGCTGATGTGTGAAAACGTTTTAAAAATGGGTCAGAAGATCACAATCTCAATTAATTATACGGGCTCACACAAAATAATAACTAAAAACAATGGTAATGTTTTTTAAAAAAATGTGAAAAGAGGTTAGTGCTGCTAATCCAATTATGAATATATTATCACTTTATTAAACTAGTACGTTTCCAGGTTTTACCGGTGTCAAGTGAATTTTTTGGCTATATATAAATCTTATAACATCATCAGAAAAAAAAAAAAACTATTTTTACTTTGCGCAGGTTAATACCCAGTTCAAAATCAATATTTATATTAATTTAATTGAATATATTCTGTTATTAAATCCATTATAGTTCGTGATCCGATTGACCAATTAACTTCTTTCAATTAATTAATAGCAATTAAAACTGGCAAAAAGGAGGGAAAGTTCGAAAGGTAGGTGGAAATGGGAAGTTGGTGTCCGAGTGGATCGAAGTCACGATAGTTAAGTGGTAGAGCAGCGGCGTATTTAGCCGAGGGTCGTGGGTTCGAATCCCGCTCGTGACACTGGCTTTTTTATTTCAACCAATACCTTACATAAATATTAATATTCTGTTATATTCTTTGGCAAATTTAGGACTGAGTCATCCTTCAAATAAATTAGAAATTGTCTATTAAAATTGAATTATGTCAATTTGTAGACATATTATAATATTGTTTTGCCCTGATGATGACCTTAAAATAGGTGGAAAGATTGGCAGTAACAATTGAAATTGCTTTTTTCCCAAGTCCACACCGTGATCTCGGTTATTCGATACACCTAACAATTAAAACAATATTTAAGATAGAAGTATGCAAATTTTATTTATATTGAAAAAATTGATTTATCAAATTAATTTTTAAGTACTTCCTCTCATACAAGTTGATATTCATTCAGCTCTCACTTCAAATTTTACTACATTAGCTATATTTTTAAACAGTAGTGAAGAGTACGAAGTCAATTATTCGATATTTTCCCAGATTGTAATATTAAAGAAATTTGTCATTATGTGTTAAATCTTATAACGCACAGTCTCCCGTCTTTTACATAAATGGAACTAAATTGGGTTTGTGTCCGGCAGGGAGTTCTTTTGAGTCCGAGTCTATTCACAATTTATGTAATTTATCTGAAATCCATCATCACGTCAGGAGTGGAAATCATTTAAGTTTGCTGATAATATATGCGTATATAAGGCTAATAAAGAACGAAGGCTAACAGTTCAAAAAATCCTACCAGTACCTGTTGTAAATTCTGTGGTTGAGCTGAGGATTCGAATTCCCGACATCTCCGGTCTATTGATGCCAGAATTCCCCGTCAATTTCTAAATACTCCCTTTTATGCTTCATATTATACTACTTAATGGGCTTCACATCCCGTTTGTACATGACCTAATCGAAACCCGTTACCAAATTATATCAAGCAGTTAATCTCTAACATGCGCAATAATCTCTCAGTTCATCAGGTATTAATTCCGACCCTATCAGAAAACCCTCCAAGGCGATTAAAGTGAAATTGACTCAGAAAACATTCCAGTCTAAATTAACGAAGAAGTTACAGTGAAGGAGTGTTATCACTCGGTAACTACGACAATTGACTCATACGTCTCAATCCGTGACATGATAAAAAAAATATATGTGTGTGTGTGTGTAATATACATATATATGAACATTACATATACATATATTTGAAATAAACATATAAACATGACAAGAATGGAATAAACGCCATCACATACGGGTAGGGGACAAATACATCGGTCAGACAAGACGAGAAATAAAAGACAGAAACAAACAACTATAAAATCTTTTAAGGACAATGACGGATTATCAAAATATACGACATAACAGAAAACCATCACGAACTCTAAACGAGTCAGACAAGCATGAACTTACTTCCGAACATGCACAAATGACCAAAAAAATACGTTAAAACTTAGAAATTTACAAACAATACATTTAACACTAAAAACAATTGGGGGCGCCGATGGCGGCAACGGTTTAGGCGTTGACACGGCGCTCATCACTGTAAGGTAAAGGTGCCGGGTTCGAATCCAGTGGCCCTGCATTCGAACTCGACATACTTATAAATGGGCTTTTTTCAAAAACACCGGCACCCAGAGGGGTGATATAACCTCTGCCGTTGCAAACCCTCGTAAAAAAAATTAATAATTAAAAACGATTCACATGCATCGTTTGCACCATTCAAAACACGATATAAATTAAAAAGATAAACCAAACAAAGATCACAAAGACTGACTCGAACAACAAAACGCCGATAGAATCCAATAAAGACACAAAAACTAAAGAAAAAAGAGAAGAATCACGTGGACCCACTGATGATGGCGAAAAGCCAAAACGTTTTTGATATACCAACCCCGGGAGGTTTGACAGATCAAAATGATAGGTTACGATCAAAATGCAATTCATCACCCTCTAACTGCAGGAGGAAATCTCACTAGCTCTTTAGCAGTATTGCATACTGAAGGATTGGAAGTCACCCTTAAGATTTTTGGAGACACTACAAAAATTTGTTAATGGACTAAAAGAAACGGACTGTAAGCGAAAAATATGAATTTTTACTTCAAGATTTGTCCTTTATGAACGGATTATTTTAAATACTAGAAGGTGCTACAAAATGCATGTCACAGTAAGACAATATTTAAGTTAACTACCTATCGGGTAATTTGATAATCCTTGGTCAGTCAGATCCTTTATGTCATCGGCCAAAATAACCGGTAACAATCAATTTACATGTTCGACACCCCACAGAATGCATGTATAATTAATTGACCCACTTTGTATCGAGATTCTTCCTTATCCAATAGAATGTATTTTAAGTAATTGTTTCGGACAATTTATTTCTTTTAGATCCTTTTTAACTCTTCTTTCAATACTTTTTAAAATAATGATACCATTCTTTCGATTTGATCGATAAGTACAGTAAGGATACTTTTCTTTTAAACCGTATCCCTAACGACTATCCTCAGGGCTGTGACCAACCAGATGAACATGCTTTAAGTTTCTCGACCATTTTTATCTCAATACAATTAACTACTAATGCATTGCATAAATATGATCACTACTAATAGCGTACAAATATGATCGAAATTTATAACACCCTGTTCCTTATCAACGACAAACGTCCTGCAGGCCCCCAGAAAAGGGAGAGTTGAACAGGTGGG